AAACTGAATCTGGTCAGTGTGAATTATTTCAATCTGGATTAATAAAATATGAATCTGGATTAGAGACGGGTTTCATCATTAAAGTTTTAATAATCCTGGTTTAATTAAGTCAAATCTTGTTTTTGAGTTTAAGTCTAAATTCAGAGGAAAAACAAAGATTTAAGTTTTGTGGATGAATCTCAGAACCGAGCTGGTTCCATTTCTAACTCATGTTCAACCTTTTCTCAACAGAAGGTAAAATGTTCCTCCTCCTCTATGAACTACCTAAATGTTAAACCGACCTTCGTCCTGACCAGGTGATCTGTGTGCGGGGTCTTCGTCAGTCAACCTAAAACTGTCCCATAAAGAAAATCTAGAAATTGATTTTGGAGAGAAAATCTGATCAGATGGAAATCTGACATAAAGAGTCTGATTTTCATTCATCAGGTGAAGGAGTGAAACTTGTCATCCAGCAAATATTTCTACTTTTCCACATTTAAACATTTAATTGTATTTTTCATGAAAACTGCAGATTGTTTGTTTGTTCGTCGTTAAAATGTCTTTAATCAATCGATGGATTGATGGATGGACGGGAGGTGGAGATTTAACTTAAGCCTCCGACATGGAATGATCAAATGAATGATGAATGAGTTTAATGTGGTCAAATCATGTCAGGATTATTGAAGTCAGATTTGATCAGATTAAACCTTAATCTTGATAATTAAGTTGGAAATCTGAAAATAAATTTGGTCTTCAAAGATAAATGATCTTAGTTTTTGGGTCAAACAAAAACATTTGATTTATTTTCCTTCTTGTGGCTTCGATCCGTTTGTTGGCACAAAGATTTGAACGTGTCAGCCGCTGTGTGAGCAGCCCGTTGACCTCTGACCTCTATGGTTCTGCAGTGTGTTACAAGGTTAAAATCCAACATGGCAGACAGAGCAGTGAGTCTATTTGTGGCGGCTGCCTCTCCTCTTCATGGCGGCCGTACACTGAGGACAGTACCACTTCCCCTTGGGAGCCTCGGTCAGTCCGACGCAGCCGTAGTGGAACCACTCGATTGGACACTGAGCAGAAAGTAAAGATTAATAAACTGATTGGATAAAATGTCTATTAATCAAATGTCAGTCAACCTACGACTCAATCTGTTCAGTCACTGATGGAAACAGGTTCAATTTGATTTTCTTCTTCCAGTTTGTTAAACACAAAATAAATTAATATTAAACTTTAACCTTTAAGAAATAACATGACACTTACATCTGTGTTATCGCAGCCGACCATTTCTCCATAAGAAACCTGGAAAAGGACAAACAACAGTTTTACTGTTTCTACTTATTTAAATTATTCTCATGTTGGGTTTATCAGATGTTCTGGTGGTCAAACGTCACAACAATTAACCAGCAACACAAACTCCGGATGTTATGTTCGATTAAAAAGTAAAGAAGTTTAACTGTGTTCCAGGGACGTGGTTTCATAACCGTAAGAATTGTACAAACTAAGATATCCAAATTTAATGTCCTGCCTCGCTCTCCCTCTTTGAGTGTGCGCTTGTTTGAGTGTGCGAGCCACTGAAACGTTGAGAAGAGGGAAGTAACTTATTTCCACCAACGCTGATCAAAAAACTACATCAGAAGAGTTCAATGGTAGAAATCCTTGTGTGTGTGTGTCTGTCTGTCTGTCTCTGTGTGTCTGTCTGTCT